TTCTAATCTTTGTTTCTCTCTCTGTAATTGTTTTTCTTTTTTGATTTTTCTGTCTGCTATCTTTTTGAATTGCATAATTGACTTGGCGTTTTTTCTTTGATTTTCAATTTTCCATCTTTCTCTGCTTTTGACATTTTCATCGTGATTTATGTAGCTGGCACTGAGATCGATATGCAGTTGTAAACAAAAATGTGAGGTTATAGTCAAATCTGTCGTCAAACGGTGAATGGGGTCCGTTAATAGGAACGTGTACGGTAGATGGGGTCCGGTAATGAGAACGGCAGTACGGAAATAGGAACACGACTTCTATTTTATATTTTTATTATAAAATCATTTTAACAAGCTGTAACACCTCAAAAAAATTTGGGTGCTCTCTTGAGATCCTAAATAACAATTTAAAATTTACTGAGTCAATATTTAGTATCAAACTGTCTTACAATCATGGTAACAAAATAAAGTGAATTTACGGGTGTACGGTAGATGGTGCGTTTACCCCTACCATAACAAAGAAATTTAATATTTCACCAAATACGTGATTTTACTCTAACGGATTATAACATGTTTTCGTCTCATATTGAAAAATGGTTATTTGTTGAATAAACATTTGTTAAATTTAATCAAAATACTAAAAAATTTCATATTGTTTTCAGTACATGAGTGTAACGATGGGTGATAATTTAAATAATTTTCACACTGTCCAACTCAAAGATGAAATTCTAAAAGAATTAAAAAATGACCTGAAAAGGATAAAAGTTGATGACAATTATATTGATGAAAATAATGCTCAGGTTGGTTGATTATACCAGAAGTAATAACGTAACTTTGTTGTAGTCTACTACATCTAATTTTTTTATAGGATAAGCTTGAACAGTTAATTTCTTGGATGAGCTCCACCCCAAAAAATATTGTTATTAGAGTAAACACAATTTTATGTGAACCATCGACAGTTCATCATAAAATTAATGAGTTTCTTAAACAGGTTACGAATAACTATGTGTAAAAATGTTTAAAGAAAAAGCTATTTTAAAATTTTGAGGATGATTTGATTAACACTAATTTTCATAGTATTCGAGACCTCTTCCGAATATTAAAACATTTCCTCATGTTGAAGAATTAATTGTTATCAACAGCTGGGAAGGTAATAGAGGATCAAAATTGACAACAGTTGCTAATGAATTGATTGTCGATGCAGCATGTGGTGTAGCAGTTTTACGAGGTGCACATATATTTGCACCTGGAGTATTGGGCATGCCTCGTGGTAATTATAAAAATTTTTTTTTGCTAGCAATTGCAGTTTTTTTGTTTTTTTTTTTTTCAATTGATTAAAAACTTAATCTTTTTAGGATTAAAAATTGGCGATAAAGTTAGCGTGTATGCAGATCTTAAAAAAAATTGTAAAAAAGGATTAGTTATTAATTATGACATTAACAGTAAACTGTTTATTGGCAATGGCATAGTCAATTTAACACGAGATCAAATATTTGCAAATTATGAAAAATCTCCAAGGTAAGGTGTTTTTATTATCCAATGATACGTTGTTTTAACAAATAAAAATTTTTTTTTCCAGTGGTATAGCCGTTTTTATGTCTGATACTATATCACATGTTCCCCAATTAAACGAGGAAATATTACCCAAAGGTCAAATTTTGCTTCAAAATTTACCATCTGTCATTTGCTCTCGAGTATTGAATCCACAACCTCGAGATATTATCTTAGATATGTGTGCAGCCCCGGGAAATAAAACTACGCACATTTCCGCGTTAATGAAAAATGAGGTAGATACATTTCTAACTTTACTTGATTTTGATTCTACAGATTTTTGAAGAGCCATTTAAATTTATAAAATTTTATGTCAAAGAATTGTATATTGATTATTTTAATTTAATGTATAAAGGGTTGATTGTAATATAATTCAATAAAATTATTATNATTAAAACAAATATAACATGAAACTAAAAATATACAATACCAATTCATGTTAGAGGATATAACAAATAATTACATTGCACAAAGTGTGCAAACAAAAATCAGTATAATATATCTTGTGGATAATTTAACAACGCTAAATAACAAAACTGCATAATTTATACATACATAGATAAAAACCCTTTAGGTAAGGTGAAGGTAAGAACATGGGATAAGAAACTGTAGAGGCTTAATACTATGTCAGGGACAAACAGAGAGGGTGTGAAAAACATTTGAATAGGATGGTTCATACGTGCAATATGTGAAAAATAAAATAATGCAGTAGAAACAAACTAAAAATAAATGCACTTGCAGAAATTTGTGTTCAACATCAATCAAAAACTTCTTATGTACAGGATTTGACTTTTTAGTACCAAGCTGTCGATTAACATTATTATTGTGAATTGTAATATAAATTGTTTCAAAAAATCACTTTCTGAATTTAGTCTTCTCTTGATGCAACATCCCTACTTCGTCAAAGTCAAAAGAGTATCGAAATTTATTAGAATATAGAGCTATTACTGACCTAGGATCATGTTTCTTAACTGATCTAACGTATTTATTTGTGCGAACATCTAGTTGTCTCTTGCTCTGGCCAATATAACAAATTCCACACTTTAAGAATACAATTTAAACTATGCCACTTATTTGCTACTAATATATTTTGTATTAGCTTCAGTTAGATTTGCCTATATAATTAACTTATACTTTGTTACTAAATTACAATAGAAACGTTTTTTTTTTTTTTTTATATTATAGTGCTTTACGTCCGGCTCCTTTGATAAAGGCACTACACAGGGCACTTAGCACTTTGGAGAACGAAGGGTCGAGGGATGGGAGGCCTCCCATTACTGGGAGGGGGGTAGGGGGAAATTAGGCAATTATGCTGCGAGGAGGTCGCCCAAACCCTCCTCGAAGAGCATTGCGTGGTGAAAAAGCACATGTGAAAAATCACAGAGGTACTTGCCCGAAAATGTCGCACTGGCCGGGAATCGAAC